TTAATTTGCAAGGATTTCGTATTGCTTTATTATTGCTGTTGATGGTGATTTTCTAAACTAAATAACCTTTTGCACAGCTTTCAGTCTTGGTATTACTCACACCACTAAGCTGTTATTTGCTATTAGGCTTTCGGATTTGTTAATTAATTAGTTACTGGATGATTAAGTTTTTAGTGTATGTCGTAAATTAATTGTCTTCAATAGTTTCCAATATTTTGTGAAAATTGTTTGGGCAAAGCTTTGCATAATCATAAAATTAAAACTTTGGTGCAAGAACTTTATTTACGTTACAAATAAGTAAATTTAGGAAATCATTAAAAAATCATTGGCCACCTAATAAAAGCTTGTTATTAGAAATTATAAACTTCTAATTAAATTCACTAAAAATGAGATAGTTAAAACTTAAACTGCTTCTCAATATGCATGCAACAAAGATGTTGCCAAGCCGATAATTTTGTACCAGCGAAAAAGAACTGGTTTACAACAAAGTTTTAATGGATTATGAAACGGGTCATAATGTTTTTCAAACTTCGGTTTATGAAGGATTAGTATTTTGTTAATTATAAGCAAATCCTGTGAGAATAAAGGGGAACAAGTAACACTTTTATAAATTTTATTTTTATTATGAACGCTGGGAGGTCTCTGTATATTTGAAGTCGAAAAATAAATAAGGGTGTTATTTTCTATTTAAAGCATTTTTTTAGCAATTTCACTCTGGATAAAGTTTGTCAAATTGCTAATGAGAACTTCTGAAACAAGTTGTATAATAATAATTTTTCATTTTAAAGTATCCAACTACATACTTTCAAAGTTAATGTACTTACCTATTAAAACTCATTAAAATATAAAACGCAGTTTTGTTTTTTGGTTTTAAAAATAAAATATTGTTTAATAATTTATTTTTGTTGTGGAAAGGGTTGTTTCAGCAAATATTATTTCTATTACAGCGTCAGTCACAGGAGAGTTACTTCTGAAATAATTTAGGCAGCAACCCATTATACAATTCACATAGGCGTCTAGCTTCCTCATTTTTAAAAATTATAAAATTGAATCCAAGAATACTTTGCATATCTTTTCATTTTGACATTTAAAAATAACAGTCAATTTTCGTTAATACAATGTATTTTTACACAAATAACGAAAAAGTGGGCATGCACATAATCCAGAAAAATGCTCCTGCGGCAGCAGCTCTGTACTTGGAAAGGTATACAAATCGAATCTGAGACATTTAGAAAACTGGAAGCCAAGTTACGACAAGATTGGTCCTCAATGAAAGACCCCGTCAGAGGACTGCTACTGGCCCAGAAAATGAAATTAGAGTCCTTGAAGCAGTAGACAATTACTTGTCATTTTGACGACTTTACTCATTTTCATCTAGCTCACATTGATTACTGAATTAATTTAAATAAAATATTATATCCAGTTACATACGCTAAAGGTATTTTTGGTTGCAAACTCATTACTTTTCAAAGTAACTCTCCTGTGACTGACCCTGTATTTATTATTTTAAATCTAGTAGTTTGACTCTTATTTAAACACCTTCGAAACTTTGATTAGATTGATTGGAGATTCTCGTTTTTACTGAAAGGGCAAAATAAATTGTTCGGACGTATTTTATTGATCGAAGGATATATAAAATGTTGCTTGATTAATGCTTCTTGTAGACAAAGTAATTGAACCAATTTAACATGAAAAATAACCATCAAACAGTCCGTTCGTTTTCTTAAAATATTATTCTACCCATATTTGGGTTTTATGTTCTCAGTTGACATCTTTTATTGGGGTACGTCTGATTTGTATGTGCTGGAGCACGAAACTCTCGTGAAAATCTTTTTATGCAATTCGCACAGTGGATTGATTGCTCGATCAAGTTCAGAAGTTATTTACTGTTCATGACTCGGTTGGAAACGTCACCGAAACTATACATCTAAGCTAGGTTTGTACACATTATCACACAAGACTTCTCGCCTTTCTTCTAAAAAGAGAACGAGCAAATTTAACTTGAGCTTTTGAAAAGTAATCCAGTAGTATTTTGTTGTCTTGTGACAAGCTCATCTTATTATTGATAAGAAACAATAATCTTCATATTTGTCTGACGATACATTCTTTCTTGGTAATTTTATTTGTATGTTTGAATCGAAAAAAAGCGGCTAAAACAATGTGCTTAATGTTATCATCTTGGTTTAATGAGGAATTAATTGGCGTTTTGGTACCACAATCAATAAAGACAATTTTATTTGTATTAAATCGTTCGAATGATCTTTTTATGCATAAATTTTGCTCTTCGATTGTTTGATTAATCATTATTATCGATTGTACAAAAATTTAATTACTACATATGTCTTGGTATCTGTTTAGTTAACATTTATTTCGTCATCACATAATTATGTGAAACGACGTGCAGGTTCGACTTTCAACTTGAAGCGCCAACTCGAAAAGAGCATCTTGAAAGCTTTGAAGCTTTTTTTGTGAATATACAAGCCACAATACTGATGCGCCTTGTTGATTGTCTAATCTGGACAAATAATTAAAAGAGACGTCTGGAAAATCTCTTAGGGATGTATTCAAAACTGCACTTGAAATGAAATATTTGTGTAACCGGATTATTAAATTCGTTAGTGTAATATTGTTAGGACTCAATCATAAAATTTAGTTTAAGGGGAAAGCAGTACGTGACCTTTTAAAATTAAAAACTAGGATATGTTACTCGGAAAGTTTTGGGAAGAGATAAAAGTTTTAAATTGTTATTACGTTTTTTGCATAATTTTGTTACGTAAAGTAACACAAACTGATGACAATAAATGTAAATCGATTTAAATCGATAGTAAGTTAATTTTAATGTAGTTGTACCTAATAAGAAACTTTCAGGTCAAAATGCAATTTTTGAAAAAAATTATTGGTGTTTTTACAAAACATGAATGAGACAATTTGTGTTCAAACTCCTATTCTACGTCTCGAACGGCTGAATTTTAAGCGTAGCCTGTAGGCAACACCAAACTTCCGAAATTGTGTAGGCCAGTTTCCGTTTTAGCTTTCGTAAACTTGCAAACTCTATAGTAAGTTCATTATGCTTACACCTCGTGTATCTCGGGATATTCGACATTACTCAAAAGATGTAATAAGGAAGGAAAAATAAGACGAAATAATAAAACAAGCAGTATAAGCATTTTTCTTTTTCTTTATTTTTTGTGACGGTTTAGATATTACGAGTCAATGGTCGATTTGCCCTGACGTTTTACTCTCGACTTATTTTTCTGCTTACGCACCATTATTTTAACAACTTAAACATTTGTTAACGATGAGCTTTACGACCTAACAAAAGTGGCAATTACTGTGGTTTTATTTTATTTAAATTCGGTGGGAATCTGTGGTGATATCAACGAAAGTAACGGCAATTTTTGTTTCGTTATTTCTTTGTAATTTGTGAAAGTGCAATTGCATTTTGTAATCCACATTATTTATTGCACTTCTGTCAGTGTTAAAGTATTCTGGATGTTTTGTGCAGTCATGTTCTAAATTACATCTGGCGTTTTCTCCTCCTGTCACGCTGATTTACTGCTTTAGTTTTTTGCAAAATTTTTATTTTTACTTGCATCTTTCATGCAAATAAACTGTAATCAAAATATTTAAACTATTTTTATTATATAAATTTTAAAATTGCCTAATAATAGATATTATACTTCTACATGTTTTAACATAAATTTGCAAATTTTAGTACTTTCTCTCTATTCATAACGACTTTCTTTTACAAATCGCTTTATGTCTTTTGCAACAACCATTTAAGGTATAATTTTTACATTTTAAGAATGTATTCATTTCAGAAAATGTTCTACCTAAACTACAATAAAAATTTATGTTGTATTTTAAGAATAGTTCTATTTAGCTACTACATACATACATGGCGTGAACTACACGATTGTGCTTTCATATTAGAGGAGTATTAAATGCATTCGTATCTACTTTCTACTATTTTATAAACCAGAATCTGAAGCTTAAACAATTTACTTAAGAGATTTTCCAACTACAACATTTAGGTTACATTAAAAATTTTATAGGATTTTTTTTTGTAATGCTAAAATTGTATGACCAAATAAATAAAATACAGGTGCGCCAGAACTAGCGCCCCAGAGAAAAATGCCATATAAGATAAGATACTAGGAATATGGAAAAAATATTTAAAAAAATTTATCTATAAAAATTTTGAAGTTATGTGGGTTCACATTTTGCATTTTGACTGTTTTTATTTCTGTTGGAAAAATAATTTTCCAAGTTTTTTTGTTATAGGCTAAGAGGAAACAGGGAAGCTGTATCTCCTAAATTGTAACTCCGTTCAATGTTATTTGTGGCTTTTATTGGCAAAATTTTTGTACCTTTACTAAATAATTGTAAAAAAACATATACATGATCATCAGTATCATTAAATAGACATAAATGTCAAATAATAAATGTCAAATTTTTTTGACAGATAGAATTTTTTAAACATTTTTTTTATGTGCCTGGTATCTTACCTTACTTGAAATTTTTCTCTGGGGCGCGAGTTCTGGCGCAGCCTGTATAAATATATACACTTAATAATAATCAATTTCTCTTTCGGCTTCCTGTTACCTACCTACTATACTATTTTAAGTTAGTTGTTCAATTTCTAAGCATAGTTACAGAAACATAACATGTAAATAAATGAAATTCATAGAGTGAAACTGTGGTCAGTTTTTAGCAGTCAAGCTTTTAGATGCCTAAAAATGTCTTCAACCCATCCGATTTCTTGCAGATAAACCATCACAATATGAATTTCTTCCGTGAAATTTGATTGGAATATGTACACAGGTGTGGTCTTTCGTGTAATATGTAAATTGAATAATATAAGATCGTCGATCTGGTTCATGTTTCGGCACGTTGCCGCACGAGATGAGAAAGTTTTATCTTAATTTGATTCATAAATAAGGCCGAGAAAATACGCCTGATTTCTTTCACTTTTTATGAGTTATAAAAGAATGACGAAATATTATGAAAATAAACTTTATTGAACACTTTACAAACTGAACAAAACGCAATAATGATAACGACTAGATTATAAGGTAAAATTACAAGCTTCTATTAATATTTGTAGCCACCGTTACTATCATACAGTTGTCCTGACCCATGAAAATGATGATCGTGGTGATTGTGAAAATCGTGATGATCATGAAAATCGTGATGATCATACAAATTGTGATGATGGTGATGATGGTTGGAAAAACTGCCACTACCACTGAAATTGGGGCCACTTATGTAATTACCATGGCTGCCAGCATATGATGAATAACCACTGGATAAACCACCAATTAATTTACTGCTTAAACCACCTTTTAATCCTCCGGGAATGACAAGATGGCCGTGGTGGTGATAATGATGGTCGTGGTCATAATGGTAATCATGATGATCGTGATGGTCATGATGATGATGATGAACCGGGATCGGTACAGGAACCTCAACTTTTGTATGTACTTTAACGGGGACTGGTTTCGGGATAATAACAGGATAGGGTTGTGGAACACTAACCGGGACTGGTTTTGGCACTTTTACATAAACAGGATGGTGCACTGGGACAGGAACGGGACGTGGGACGGCCACAGGAACTGGTTTTTTAATAACGACAGGAACTGGTTGTGGAACTTCAACGCGGACTGGTCGTGGGACGTCGACAGGTTGTGGGACAGCAACTGGGACGGGAACGGGACGATTGACAACAACTGGGACGGGATGTGGGACTGGAATTGCCACTTGTTGGGTGTTTCGGCTGTAGGTGGTTCCAGCATCGACGATATTGGCTGTACCTAAAGCCAGACCTGAACCTAGGACTCCTCCGCCGATAATTCCTGCGATTCCTGCGGGGACTGCGGCCACACCTGCTGCTGTTCCTACTGCGAGGCCGTGAATTCCTGCAACAGCTGGGAGAGCAGCGACTCCTACTGCAGGGGCAACAGCCGCTTCAGCTCCTGTCGCGACAGATACTCCGTGCACTCCAGTAGCAACAGCTCCTTGAGCAAGGGCAAAGTGACCTCCGTGAGCTAGATGTACTTGATCTACAACCGCACTTCCGTATCCGGTTGCGTAGTCTGTGCTAACTGGCGGCGTTAAATCGGTGCTAATTCCACCACTCAATACTCCACAATTTGCTAAGTTAGCAAAGGCTAGTATGATCGGTAGAACCTGAAATAAAATAAAAATATTTTCGAATTTTAAGCTACACTAAAACGTACCGCGATTTTACGCATTTTGTGCGTGTGTGTTAAAAGAAAAGTGAAGATGAAATGATACAATAAGGTAGACGAGTGACTTTCTTATATATTGACCACACCTTGGATGGACGACAAATTTTACTTTCACGACTGTGGCGAGACGTAGGCCAACACATTATGAATTATGGGGATTTTTTTCACAAGAGTCGAATTAGAATAATGTCAATATAGGTCATCGGTATGCATTTACATACATTTTTAAAGAATAAAAACATATTATAGAGTCGAAAGTAAAAATATGTAAGTACCCAAATTATAATTGCCATTTAAATGTTACTAAATTTTTAATATTAATAACAAAATTATATAATTCAAGAGTGATATATTAAAAATTGAATTATAATTTGTCTATTTTAGTATCACTTTAGGTGACTTTTACTTTGATGTTTATTTTATACGTATAAATTAGCATAAACTTGAAATACCAGCTATTAGAATATGAATTCGATGTTACCGGAACAGACTATACATGTGTTTATCTTTTTTATAACATAACTTGTGAAGAAATGTTAGTTATGTAATATTGGAATGAATTAATGAAACATTTAGTTATATTATAGCATCACTTTATGGCTACGCAGACAGTTTACATATTTTTTACATTGCATTAAGACTAGTTACAGATCACAAATGTTTCCACTGGGTGTTATGAACGGTGTGACCTGAAATTCCTCCGTAGACACTTGGTACGTAAGATCCAACAAGTCCATGGTTGCTTCCGGCAACAAAATGAGCGGATTTTCCGGCAACAATTTCAGCACCAGAAGTGAGTCCTGAGCTGATGGCTGATCCGTATTCGGCTCCAGTGGCCAATCCGGATGTTTCATATCCTGAGCCGGTGCTTAATACTGCGCCGCTTCCAAATCCTGATCCGCTGATAATTTCAGCACCAGTTCCATATCCTGATCCATACCCAGATCCATATCCAGATACATATCCAGATCCATATCCAGATCCATATCCAGATCCATATCCAGATCCATATCCAGATCCAAATCCATAGCCTGATCCGTGGACAACTTCCTGAACTCCAGATCCAAAGTCGCTTCCGATAATTTGACCAGCGCCGGAATCGACATGAGTTACAGTATTAATTCCAACGACTTCTGGTACTTTAACAACAACGGGGGTGGGTACTTTGACGGCAACGGGGTGTGGTACTGCAACTGGTACTGGTTCCCTGACTTTAACAGGAACAGGGTGGGCTACTTTAACGTAGACGGGTTTTTCTACGGGAATCTTGACGGTTTTGGTAATGTGAACTGGGTAGGGTTTGGGTACTTCGACTGGTACTTTGACTTCGACGGGCACAGCCACGGGTTGTGGTACTTTAACGGCATAGGGTTTGGGTACTTCAACAGGAACGTTGACTTTGTATGGAACTGGTACTGGTTTTTCAACTTCAACGGGGTAAGGTTTGGGTACTGATACTGTCTTAGTGATATGGACGGGATAAGGTTGAGGTACTGCTACTGGCACGTGTTGGGTAACAGTGTGGATTTCGTGGGATCTTACGTTGGACACTTTGGCCAAACCTTCAATGGCTCCGTAGCCACTGCCAGCACGGACGCCGGTAGATTGGCGGCTGGTAACAACGCCGGCTCCCAATCCTGATCCGTATCCAGCACTGTATCCGTAACCAGATCCATAACCAGATCCATAACCGGATCCATAACCAGATCCATAACTATAGGTAGACCCAAGACCTGATCCATGACTATAGACAGATCCAAGACCGGATCCATGACTATAGACAGATCCAAGACCGGATCCTTGACTGTAGACAGATCCAAGGCCGGATCCATAACTATAGCCAGATCCGAGACCGGATCCATAAGTTTTGTATCCCAAATTTCCGTAAGTGGTGTCTACGGTGACGCCACCCAAAGATCCAACGGTGTCAAATCCAGAAAAATCGTAATTGTTGTATCCATTACCAAAAATGTGCCTTTTGGGTTTGTCTTCTTTTTTGGCTGATTTTTCAGTTTTGTCTTTATTTTCTGCTGCACATAGTGCGACTATAGCGAGGAAGACAAAGCACTGAAACAAAAAATTGAATTATCTTTAAAAAAATTTAATTGTTGACGTACCACAAAGATTTTCATTTTGATGTGCTTGAAGCAGCAACAAAACCGAAATGATGAAGAAAATTTTAATTTTCGGTCTTTATAAAGGGAAATATTCTGATTTGAAGGACGAAGATGTCATCATTCCAGTTTTTTAATAGTCTTTAGATGTCACAAACATGTTGAATAAAAAATATTTTATCATAGACAGATGTGATGCTACAATATAGATGGTGATCTTTAAAATCATTTACATCTCAATTTTTTTAATAGTCAATGTATTTTGCATTCTTAGTAAGAGAAAAATCAATATTTTTAATAAAATTATTCAGGACGAGTGCATTAATTTTATTCTTGGACAAAAAATTTATACAAAACCGTTTTTAAATAATAGCAAACAATTTGACATTTAAAGAAATGTGAATATCTTGTAATAATTTGTCATCAGGTAGGTTGAAGAATTAATTTGCTCTTTTTGATTCAAAATTAATTATTTATTAATGACCATTATAATATTTTTTGGGCAGTCTAGTTTATTTATTAAAAACTTTAGTAAAAAATATATGGAGTGTAATAATGGAAAGAGCATCACAGACAACGTCTCATTATTTCAATCTATCGACGTACACAGAAAATCAGCCAATACAGCTGAAACGGATTGAACAAAATACATGAGAAGCTGCAACAATTGAAGCAAACAATTTATTTGTGTTATATGTTAGTGTATTTACTGCACTCTGTAGTCTAGTGAGATCGTAAAACGTAGAACTTTTTTTATTTATTTACGAGCAACATTCAAACCACGTACTTACACACTAGTTCATGCAAATCTCATGTCTTCACATTATTAACAGCTTCACATTAATTAGATTGTTTTAATAAGTAAATATGAAAGCCAACTGGTTCAAAGGTTGAATAAACATGATCCGATCACATATCGTTGGAAAATAAATTAGTAGTGTTGGAACCAAGGAATATTCTCTTATTGTTTACCAAAACATAATTCAACGATTTGTTGAAAGTTAAAGGAAAACTAGTTTCTTCAGTTTAAAAAATTGCACTTGGGGTAGGATTTACCAACACGTAGCTAGGTCCTTATTAAAGAGGTCGTTTCTATTGCAGGTAGGCTCTAATAAATCAAACTAGCTTTGGAGCAAAAGCTTCCTAAATGACGAAATATTATTGCCGGTCTTTATATATTAAAAAAGTGATATAGGTGTTGTGTATCTATTGAATTATGAAATATTTAAATCTAGAAACGGTACATTACTTTTAATGTATTTGATATTTTGATAATTGTTACGGTGGCCATTAAATCGATGTGTAAAATAAACCAGCAAATGCATTCAAGCAAAATTATCATATTTTGTTTATACAAAATTATGTTAATTAAGGTGATGTTTTTGCTAAGTTATAAATATTAATAGAGGAATTTTGTAGCAAGGGTAAAGGTTACAAGAAAAAATGCTAAATTTTGGATTATAGTTTATTTTATGAAAAATTAATTGATTTTAACTAAAAATAAAAATTTGTGTCTATTCGAGGTCCGGTTGGAAACTAAAACAGGTGGACTGTATGGTGATATTAATTTATATTTTAAATGGTGTCGGTATTTTTAAAAGTTCTATAACTCTCGAAATTATCTTAGATTTGGGAAGAAGATTTAAACTATGTGGTAACGTCTTTTTACAAGTAATGAAATCATGAACACTCAGATTTCTTCCAAATGCACCGAAACATTTATCTTATATAAATTATACGGAAGCTTATTACAACTTTGGCCATCAATTATAACTTTCATTATTATTACCAAGCTTTTATAATTTCATTGACGCTAAAACAAAAGCTATTCACTGTTCATTTTAAAATTTTATGCTCAACCTACAGTCTTTTATTATTTTTTGCAAAAGTTCATTGTTTTTATCGATCACCAAATGAAGTATCTTTTGCTCTCATCTTCCCACACAAGCTACTATGCGACTAATAAAAATAATAAAGTCGCACAAAATTGTCTAGACTGTGGTTTTTGTATTTTTTAGATGGTCGAATTAGGTACTTTAAAAAATACTAATGTTACTTTAGGGATCTGCAATAAATCAAAGATTTTCAGAGTTCCAATATTAGTGTTTTTTATCTCCAAAGCCAATAAATCACAAATTACAACCCAAAAAATATTTTTCGTGCTCTCTGACCCACCACACACTTTCAGAGGCATTTGTTTTGTTTTTTTCTCTAAATATTAGTAACTTTCATTTTATAAAAGCTTAATTAAAAATAGAAATTGATTCAACTACACAATTGTATTGTTTTCGAAGTAATTACAGTTTTTTGCAATTAAATAGCAGATTTTGCGGGTTTAGTGGATTTACATGGTTCGTCGCACTTGACCTAAATTTACATATTTGTTATGTGGAATAGAAAATAAAACGAAAAGCGAGCATCAAATGATAATCAAGTCTTGTCGTTATCAACAATTTTATGAAAAGAAGTACTTAAAAATTTAATAAAAGGTAGCTAATCTGAGATATGTTTTCTAACATTTCTCAAATAAGAAGTTGGGAAGTATTTTTGCAAAGACACTTTTTTTAATTTAACTTGTGAGTAGAAATAAATTTGTTTTAAATTTTAAAATTCTTAAAAACAGCTAACACACTGAGGTAAAAATCTGTGTTTTACATTTCTTGTCCTGAATAGATAAATTCTTTGAGATAACGAAGCTACACTTTGTCTTACGGAAATGGTATCAACTTTTTTATCTCAAGTCCTTAGTTCATATCAAACGATATGCCCACGGCTCAAATATAATATTGTCACCGCTTTTGTTCGCCGAATTCAACACAGTTGAGCTTTCACATTTCTTCTAGCTTCGCCGCTTGTGGTATTTTCCCGTCATTATAAAAGAAAAGATTAGATTAGTGTTTCTCGTTCGCGGAGTTCTCTTATTGTCCGATCCGACTAAGTGAATTCAGTTTCATCACTTTTGCCTCAAAAAATTGCTCTTTATCCACTACTTTTCCATCGACATCACAATACTTCGTTATGTGCACAAAAAGTTATGTAATTGTCCGTCCCTTTGTCTGGGTTTAGCATACGCGTTGGGTTTTTTGGCGAGTTTCTTTCTCCAAGTGATTCATGTCACTTTCATCGGAAACTTGTTCTTGGGCAAACTCGCTGTGATTATAACAGGAAGTAAGTTTGTTTGGTCTGTCGTGTAACTACACGTATCTATAACATCAATGGATATATTCGATAACGCACCCTCTTTGAAATCACTTGAGCTACCGAGGCGAAAATCTCAAGATGGGATCAACCCTTAGCTTTTTCGCCTAATATACGATATTCGCAGCCTATGTTTTAGAGGGTTTCTTCAGTATGATGTCTTTTTAAATAATTTGCAATCGACTGGGCTCAAATCCATCCACATTTAACTATTGAAATAAAATAGTATGTTGCCATTAAATGGACTGGCAATGCGCAATTGTTGTAAATATTCCTAAATAACAACAAAGGAGTATATTGTATATTATTTTAAATTATCTGGCGATATGCATGTGTCAATGAGTTTGAACGATGAATAGAATTTATCAACAATCAGTGACATTGTGTCTGTTGCAGTGCAAACTCATTTTTCTTTCATTTAAACTGAAAAAAAAAATACAAATAATTTTGAAATGAACATTTATAGAGATTTATAGAGGTTTTTTTATGACAGATTTTCATAATATACGATTCACTACTAATTTAAACATTTTCCGTAAGTCCACTTTCTGTGATTTCTTAAAACATGTCCTTTCACTTAATTTTCTTTGCAATAGTGCAACTGTTTAGGCCATTACTCTAATGTGAGAGTGACCATTGCCTTATCACCTATAACCTTCAATTTTTTTCTTTCTGCGAACTAGTAGGTATTTATTTATTATGTAACTTTACTGGTCGTAAATTTTATTTTATGTTAATATCCTGTTGGTAGGTTTACGATTAGGCCAGGTCGTAAGATGTGAAATTTATAGTTTGATGGGTTTCTGATCACAGGAAGAACTAATCATATCAAATACTAATTATTGTTTTTGTTCCAGGTGAGTAACTAATGTAATATAATCCTTTCTGGACATGTCTTCGTCATGCAAAGGTAAAGTTTCTTTCTAATTATTTTTTCTCTCTGATCTTTAAAGCAGATGAAACTTTTCAGCTTTTTGTTCTTGACATTTTATCGTGAAATCTCATTAGAGGAATTCGGCGAAAAATCGATCCGATTGGCAATTTACATACTAAAATATACCGTGGGTTTGTCATCGTAAATCCGGGACTACGAAAAATTTTCTAGGGCGAATTACGTGATCGGTCCTAAGCTTTCACCGCTTATTATCAATTAGTTTGGTCAACATGTAGTAAACATTACCTAAACAGCATGCTAGCGAATTAATCAATTGATCACAAATTAAACCGAAGCTCAATCTGCGGTCTGTAGGTTTTTATCAATGGTGACGCGTCCGAAAACGGCAAAACGTGTAATAAGCATTAAGCAGTGTTATATAATGAATTTGCATGTGAAATTTAGTGTTAATTGACTGAAACATGATCTTGGATTTTTGCAGCCTTGGCAGTGAATTTCATGTGTTCTAACAAAGTAAATTTTAATTCATCCGTTTTATAAAGGAATTTTATTTACTTGTAGTAGAATAAAATAAAGTTACGAGCTACAAGGATGCGAACTGATTGACCCAGTTTCTGTTTGTTTAAATTTCTATCATGTTGTACTGCTCCAGACTGCATGTCTAGTGCAAATTCTTATCAGACTTCAACAAATTGATTTTTATTGTGCTCTAAATTATTTCAAGAAGGCCCCATTCTTCGTGTATTAAAAAAAAATGAAATCAATCATTAAAAATAAACCTATTAACTCAAACACGAAAGCCTTTTTTTAATACTCTTAATTATTATAAGGGCTTTGTATGAAACTTTGTTAGCGGTCATCATTTGAAACATAAATCGCTGCTAATTTCAAACCAACTCTTGCATTCTCTCTTAGATGTCTGGGGTTTGTGGTACTAACTTTTCTAGGGAACTTTTTTTCTAATTAAAAAATTTAAATTTAATTTATTAAATGATAAAATCTACTTATTCATGAGATTTTATATTAAATAAAGTTTTGAAAAAAAAAATTTTTTCAAATAGGTAGTATCAAACAAATAAATGGATTTTTTTTTCATTTTCTTCTTAGGCATAAATAATGAAGCTTGTAATTTTTAATAAACACTTGGCAGTAACTTGATTTTTATGGTTAATAAGGAGTTAAAAGTGATCTAAAACCAACGTTAAAATTGTATAGTGTACTGATTTATGAGTCTGGCACGTGTACCATGATTAAAGTTTAAAATAGAAGAGAATACGTATTTTTTTTATAAATTGCATTAATAGGTTCTCTCACCGGCAAAATTATCACATCACGAGAAAAGTGTTTTTTTATTGATATTGAAATAATGCTTAAAAAATTAATTGAATCAAAAATTAATTTATTAATTAATTAACGTTAAGTTAAACTAAAATTACGACTTCAACAATTAAACTACAATTTATAATGAAAAGCGAATTTTGTGCGGATCAGTTCTATAGCTTAGATAAGCTTTTCTTACATTCAGAGGCAATCATTAATACTTAGTATTGCCTCCTCGAGCCTGGAAAGAAGTTCAGTTTTTTATTGTTGTCTTTCGAAAATTAGCGGTGATTTTGATAATTTGACATTTAATCAGTAAACAGTGAATCTACACCAATTGTTTTTGAAAAATCCATAGTCGACTGAGTTACTTGATAATGCTACTATCCTATATCATCAATTTTAGTACTATTTTCAGAACCCTTGAACCATTAAATCTTAAAAATTTAAGTGATGCGATAATTATGCCGGTCACTGTAGGTTCTTTAAATTAAAATTATTGTTTTTTTATTTTATGTATTTTTATTATAACTTATGTTAGATAAGTAAGATACTACAATAAACTTTTTTTACTTATTTTTTTTTACAAAATTAATAATTCAAAGAAAATTCCTAATCAATTTGTTTCTCTGCAGCGCCATCTGTGATAGAGAAGACAAAAGTTGTTTTCAGACATAGACTCTGAACAGTTTTCTTTTCTCTAGTATTTAACTACACTGATTTGTAATTAAATTAAGCTTATTATTACTGTTGTAAAACTTCATAGATGCATGTAGATGTAGATTCTGAACATCTTATACTGTGTTAGGTCACAGAAACCATTATTGATCAAACATCTACCTATTTCAGCGCCCCATGTCGGCCATTGTGTGAATCATTTTTTGTTATTTTGTTACGAAGGTTCTGTGAGGCATTTTTTCATCATTAGAATTTTTATACATAAAATATAGTGGTTTTTGTGTATCGGAAGTAATATAAAGCCACAATTGTATCTAAAACACGTGAGTAACAACTCAGTTTTCTTAAAATGATTCATTTTTGGATATATAACTGTTTTAACCTCACTTTTGTAGCAACATGACTTTTATGTCCGTGGCTCATTATCTACAACTTGTGGAAAGGTATTGGCGGTCTCAGGATGGTGCTAAAGTAGCTAACTTCTTATCACTTCGACACGAACATGCAGGTTACGCCAATTATCACGTTGAAAGTCCTGAAGGGATAGTGGAACGTTTTTTAACCGCCCCCATCGACGAGTTGGTGATTTTACATTTAAAATGTTTGTTTGCGATCAGCCAGAATAATTACTTAATGGCTTATAATATCCAGAGTAATCTTACGCAAAATTTCACTAAAATCCTGCAATCGCAAAAAGAGGAGAATTGGTCATTGCCTATTATGTATGTCTTGTGCTTAGATTTGCGTCTTCTGGCACAATTAGCTGAGAATCAGAGAAGTGGAATTAACGAAAAACCGGGTGAAATTCTGGAGAAGGCTGCAGAATGTTTGATGGGTTGTTTCAGGGTGTGTGCTGCTGATAATAGGTCAGCAGAAGAAGATACTAAAAGGATAGGGATGTTGGCTTTAGTAAATCAATTGTTTAAGGTTTATTTTCGGATAAATAAGTTACATTTGTGCAAACCTTTAATCAGGGCAATTGAATCATCACCTTTTAAAGAAAGTTTCTCACTGGGCCAACAGATTACATACCGGTATTTTGTAGGACGAAAAGCTATGTTTGACAGCGACTACAAAGTCGCAGATGAGTATTTAACATATGCTTTTGAAAATTGTCATAAACTGAGCAAGAAGAACAAAACGCTCATATTGATATACTTAGTTCCTGTGAAAATGTTATTGGGGTATATCCCAAGTAAGGAGGTTTTAGAAAAGTATGACGTTATCCAGTTATGGGATTTAGTACAAGCTGTATGTCAGGGTAATCTTAAAGTTTTTGATGAGATTATGGAAAAACACGAAACTTTCTTTATAAAGTGTGGGATTTACTTAATTGTTGATAAATTAAAAATCATAGCTTATAGAAACTTATTTAAAAAAGTCTATTTGATTTTAAATACGCATCAAATACCAATTGAAGCATTACAGACTGCTTTAATTTATTTAGGACAGACTGATGTTGATTTAGATGAAACAGAATGTATTGTTGCTAATCTAATTTATGAAGGAAAAATTAAAGGGTACATTTCGCACCAGCATAGGAAGGTTGTTGTTAGTAAACAAAACCCATTTCCAGCACTTACAAGTCTATCATAACTATTTTTTTAACACTTTTATAAAGTGAAAAAGGATATATTTGTATAATTTATTGTTCAATTCAACACCTGGATTGCTCATTGCAAGTTTTAATCTTAAAATAAAAAAATTACATGCAACTATTTTGTACTTGGATATTAAATAAATTATTTAAAAACATTTCGTTTTTTTTTATGTGTTTCACTGGAACATATTAAAAGTAATGTCTATAAATCCTTTTACTGCAAAGTGACTAAACGACCATACTGTCATAAAGAAAAAGCTAAATATTGTATGCATAATATAAACCACATTAAAAAGAACACTTTAGTAGATATGTTTGTTTACGGAAGTAGACAATAACTTGTTTTATTTGAAGCGTTCACAACTGCAAAATTTTTAAAAACTTGGCTTGAGTGGTAATACTATAACTGATTTAATGCAGATTTAAACCTATTTTGAATATCAAAAGTAATAAATAATGTACATTCGTTATCAAATCGGCTTATTTATTATGCGATGCTTTTAGCTACAAATATTTGTTTAAGCTTAATATGCTTAATAAACACGTAACTACTAAATTCTCCTTGCTGAATTATGAAAATACAATTGAGATTAACACTTTTTTATAACAACGGGATTTAATTTCGATAAGTAACACTAATTGTTTCTCACATAACTTTGTTACACAAAAATTAAAACTAAACGTTCATTTGGAAATAGAGGGTGTTTGCACCCTCTAAAATCACCCATTTAGTCTAAGATTGGAAAAATGCCCAAAGAGGTCAACTGTTAAAGGGGGAACAAATTTGATCTTTGTTTCAAAGTTATTTCTGCATCCTTTTGAGACCCAGAGCTTACCCCTTCAAAAAATTAAGTAGCAAGAGGGGTCGAGTAACATCATTTTGAAGCTGCTTTCGTTGTCTATGCAACTATGTTTTTTTTTTCAATTTTAAATAATTTGTTTTCGAAAATCACGAAATTGTTTTAGGCTCATTATTGTAATTTTCAAAATTGTCAATCCGGTATACTCGTTCAAATTATGGATGTCTTATCTTATTTGCACTATTGTTTTTATTTTTTTGTTGGACATTTTGAGCATTTTTGTTTCCTCTCAAAGTAAGTAATCTAGTGTTCTTAAAAAGGATTGTTCAAAATTGAAAAAAAATTGGTTGCATAGATAACGAAAGCAGCTTCAAAATGATGTCTTTTTAGAGGGAAGTATCTTTGAAATTAAGATAAGATGTGGTCTCCCTTTAAGTTAAAATTGACCTGTCTTTTTCAAATTTGGACGAAATATGAGATTTTAGGGGGTGCAAATTTTAGTTGGGAGTTTATTTAATAATATTAGTATATTTTAAGTATGAATGATGATAATCATCATCGGCTTGATAAATGGATAAAAATATTAATTTTTGCAATAATGTTATTTCTAATTATCTTTAGTTTATTTTGGGTGCGCATTGGCGAAAGAATGTAGGAAATTATTTTTGGAAAAATAAGATAATCTCAGTTTTTGTGACGGCAAATACTGTATTCGAAGGATTTAAAACACGAAAGACAAAGAAAAATGAACTGTCCAATTAGAATTGCAAATTAAAGAAGATTGAAAGCAAATTTATTCAAAGACTTTCAGTTAGTCTTATCAAATCAGCGCCTGAATGACCCTATACACAGAACACTGTTGTGAAGTAGGCATTTAGATCTGAAACATGTCCACAGCACAAGATATAAAATTTGGGTTAGGTAGATAATGTCTGAACCAAGCAAAGGAGGGCTGAATTCATGCCTTATCGTTGTATCTCTTATGATCCATATTGTTTATAAAATAGGCACTCCATGTGTTTCCAGGACGAAGTATATTGATTAAATTTCACTCCACGTAATCTTGAGCAAACCCCAGAACATAGGGATAAATGTAATATGCATGTACCTATTGTAGCATGCTTCCAGTAACAAAATACGGTCTTTGTCAGATAAATCACCTGTACGAAGTTAAAGATTACGCGGACTGCTAAGCCGGGCTTTAATTAAAATTTGCACCTAACCCACATGAACATCATACAAGCTTTTACAGTTAATGTACACATAACAACATCTCCAAGAAATGAGAGTCAACCTAGTTTTTCCCACCACATCGGCGGTTTTTTGTGTTACATTTAATTTTTGATTTACTTTTATTACTCGGGGATTCAAATGCACGTTTGTGGAAAATTGTAAGGTACAGTGATTTAGAGACAGCTGTACAAACAGCCTAAACAGGACGGACACATTCAAATTAACAAAGGAATGCACTCGCCAAAACCTTGTAATGAACACAGTCATCCCTTATAAAATATTTATTTTGCAAGAGCGTAATCTAGAATTTAATTAGGATATAGAAACAGGAGGTACCTCTCCAGAGAAAGTTAGACCACAGGATTTCATTCTGCATGTATGTAACTGTAATGTTGTCACTTATCAGCACAATTTTAAGGATTTTCACTGAATAAATTTAATGAAAGAAGTTTCACTGCGTTCTTAACAAAATGACTAAGATGTTAATCAGACCGAGTCATTTTTATTTTATTCAGATCGGAGCGTATTAATATTCAAAAACTGGGATTTGTGTGGAATGGAGCTTGCATTAATTCAAGGGATTTTTTGTTTGTTTGAATTCTACGTTGCGTGTCCCGGAAAAGCGTAAATTAACGATTGGGCAATACATTTTTGCTCATTTCTAGCATAAGTTATTCAAAGACACCTTCTGGTTGTTTATGAAGCAAGAAGACGTCAGATGCGTTGTGACATGCTTTACTGCAATTCCCTTATTAGTTTCATAGTTCTCTGGATTAATAAACCAGCAGACGGTTGCAGCCACGGTTGGGATGCAATTTAGTGCATCTAATCTTGACAGTTTGAGTTTGGAGGCACAGCTTCTGTTTCAATTAGTTAACTAATATATTTGGAGAGATACTTGATTTGAAGAGTTTTTTTCAATCGAAAATTGTAAAACTTGATTCTCGGATGTAAGATTTTAATGAACGGGTCTTTTAATTTAGCTTTTCTTTATCTCGTTTGACGGATTCACTTAATTAACTAGATGAAAGGGTGCTGCAAGCTTATGACACCACATTTTGGTACCCGGAAAAAATCCCTTCCTCAAGGTTTTCACCTACTTAAAACTTTGCAAAATTAAGTCGTGATGAATGCGACTATCAGTAGGTATATACAAAAAGCGCTCTACTTTGATGAACTTTATTAATTAGTTATTTTTCTTTGAAGAAAAAACGTAATAAGTAAACTAGATTGGGTGGAGAGCCATCAAAAGTATGTGCAACTTAGGACGCGAAGTAATTATCGAGAGCATAAAAAGTATTAATTAGTTTAACCCTTCAGCATTAATTTTTTATAGGAAAAGTTTTTACTTTGAATTTGTCTCTGATAATTTGAAGCAAGTCTGGTTTTATTTTTCTTACCATTACACTAATAATTGTAGTCTTAACGTTGTAAAACGTCAAAACTGTGTAAATATGTTTAGTTTATATCTCAAACAGACTCCTTTGTGCGAATACTGGTAGCAAACTAGCGAACATTCAATACTTGAGGATAAAGTCCGCAATACCTACATTGTTAAACAAGTCCTTCCTTTGAACCGGTGGAAAAGCAGATTTAAAAAACACAACTCTAATGATGTGTCTGCAAAAGTGATTTGCTTTTAAGGCTTTATATACTTTTTAAGAAAAAACTTGATGCATTTGCATTATTTACTGTGTTTTGAAAATACTCCCTTGTTTGCCAATCGAACGCGCGTTTTATTGACAAACTTTAAAAAAGCGCAAATATTATTTCTGATCTTTGTTGTATCAGCAAAGAAAAATGTTCGAAGTTTTGCTTGTAAAAATAATAGTTACTAATTTTCAGCAACTTGAAAACTTGTAATCATATGCTTCAGTTTCAGGTTTTCGCTTGAATAGTAGCAAATGAGTTCCTGAATTTGCATTATTTTGATTAGCAAGTTTTTTCTCCAACGGATTTAAAATCGTCAACGAAATTTTCAGACCCCAGCTTGGTTTCTAAAAAATTGTATAGGCGGTAAAGCTTCCATCTCAGTTAGCAAAAACTGTTCCAGTTTATAAAAAAAATGAAAAGGAAGGAATGAATTAGCTTGAACAACATTGTGAAAGCGAGCACGGAAATTTATTGAATTACTTGTAATTACAATAATTATGTATATTTTGTTCTTATGAGTTTTCCTGAGTGACAATAAAAAACACGAATAAATTTGGCTCTCATGAATGTATTATTTGTAACTGCAAAAGATCAAACAAAACACTGATGGTGCGCCACTCTTTTAAAAATCAAATCCTGCTTTGTACTTTAAAGCTCGTTAGTCCGATTTTATTACTGTCAGCGGTTGAGTGTTGACCAACCCTTTCGCAGGTTTATCTTGTATTATCTTTTATTGCGTCATTATTTTAATGAAAAGTGAGACTTTCTACCTATCCGAAGTAACATTTTCATTTGCAGCTTGTGCAATAAAAATTACTTAGTTGAAGGTAGAAGCTTGGCTCTGTCAAGTAGTTTCTTGTTTAATGAATAATGATTAGTGAGTCACGTATTTATGGTCGAATAAATTGTCAAGCTCGAGATATAAAGGATTGTGCATATAAGCAGTAGGATCTGTACTTAATAACTTGTGTATGTCGAAGATGGCAAAACCAGAAGTCAAAAAAAAAAACAGTTTTTTTATAAACGTTTCACTAAAAGCGAGATTTTTTTATCTTTTCTCAGATTGACGCAACGTTTTTTGGTAATTTATCAGTATCATAGGATTTGGCATAATGACCACCGGTCGGCGCTTTGGATTTATGTTTTCGCAAAGGTTTCCCACCACGACTATCAGAGTCGGCCCAGTGTCGTACGTAGGCAAAACTCTAGAATAACAATTATCAAATTGTGGTAACAGTAAAATGGTCCTTGACAGATTTACCTAATTATAGGACACTAAAAAGATAAACAGTTAGTACTTACATTTTGGAAATTTGGCTTGCAGAAAAGCGTTCGACGGCATGGCACTGCGATAGCGCTATGTAGTGGGGTTAAATAAATTTCGATAGGCGAACAGTAATAATGACAGAATGGATTCGTCTCTTTTATTTAATCATCGTTTAAAAAGGCGTTCGATTTGTAGTTTATTT